TGATACAAGCCCATACTGCCTGACATAGTCTCTTGGATGATATGCCTGCCTATAAACTGATTAAATCAATGAGAGGCCATTGTTTATCTGGCTTCACTTATTTAACAACCACTTACTGTAAACTGCTTACAAGAGAATACCAGCTTTTAGCATTTTCCTCCAGCAGAGTTCATTGAAAACATTCCTCACTATTTCTCACAAAGCAACTTGCATTCATGTAATGTTGCAACAGACCCATGTATCACAGACAATAGACACAGATCACTATATAAATTGCATGCACACCTCGGAATCCAGGACTAGAACTACAGCTCCAGAAACAGGCCTCTACCAGTTGAGCCGAAGGAAAACTCCCCTTACTCGTAGTGGTAGCAAGTACCTTACCCCACCTCTTTTGGCTAGTCACTAGACAGCAACATTACCCCCTCTCAAAATGCAAGAACATGAAACATTACCATATTACAACTGCCATACACTTTGTTGAGACAGACAGAGTGATCTTTGTGTAATAAAGGCACTGAAAAAAAAATCCTATCTTGTATAGTTCTGAGCTGAAGCAGCATAAATGCCCTGTTATATATTTCCAAATGACAGGAATAAAAGCTGTTATTTTCATCTAGTTTATCCCTGGAGCTAATGGCATTTCATTTAAATAAAATTTGATGAGTGGGTGGAAAACATGGTTGAGTTTGACACCCGTAGGAAGGAAGAGGAATTCACGAAGGGTCAAAGACTCAGAGTTGAGACAATCTACAGGGGGCTTATTACTTACTGTAGATCACATGGCACAACGTCCCACAAACCATGCACTTTGAAACGTGATTACTGTGGTCTTACTCAATTTAGGATGAACAATAATGGATATTCATTCTGTGCCTTTCTTTACAACACTGAACATGTTCATTGATTAAACAGTGGAAATTGATGACATCTGAACACAAGGAAGCAAATCTGATACTCCAGGGTCCTTAATTTACAGAAATGGGGAAAGATTGTACTGTATCTGACTCAAACCAGGGAGGCAAATCCTACCTTGAGAAGCCTCCACAGTGCTCAAACAGAGGAACATTTTAAAATTTGATTCCATATACAGCAGACAAAAAGTACAGCTGAGACTAAATTTGTGTCTGATGGAATGGAAATTGGCCAAGATTGCAATCAACTTCTTCAGTATTCTAGATAAATGTACCGATTTCCCAAACACTGTCTGGAAGGACTTAATCCTGTGAATCGGAGTGTGATTCTTGTAAAACCATTTTAAGGCCTCAATTCAGAAAGGTATATATGCCTGTGGCTAACTTTAAAGCACATGCAGTCCTGCTCACTGACTTCATGTGCTTTACTTTAGGCATGGGTTTAAATAACTTGCTGAGTGAAAAGGGAGCAGGTGGATCTTATAGAACAGTGGTTTTCAAACTGTGGGGGGCTGTGCCTGTGGGCAAGAGCTGCATGGAGCCACTTGCGCACCTCTGCCTAGGAGCCAGACCTGCTGCTGTCCGCTTCCGGGTCTGCAGTGCCAGGACCCCTGCTGCACTGCTGACAGGGAGCCGCCCGAGGTAAGCCCGCACCCCAACCGTGTGCTCCAATCTCCTGCCCCAGCCCTGAGCCCCCCCAAACCCGAAGCCCCTTCCTGCACCCCTGCACCCATCCCCAGCCCCATCCCAGAGCCTGCACCCCCTGCTCAGAGCCCTGACCTGCTCCCACACCCCAACCCCCTTCCCCAGCCCTGAGCCCCCTGCACCCCAAAACCCTCATCCCCGGCCCCACCCCAAAGCCTGCACCCCCTGCCCAGACCCCCTCCCACACCCTAACCCTCCACCTGAGCCCCCCCAAACCCAAGCTCCCTCCTGCACCCCAAACCCCTCATCCCATCCCTGACCCCACCCCAGAGCCTGCACCCCCAGCCCAGAACCCTGACCCCCTCCTGCACCCCAACCCCCTGCCCCAGCCCAGAGCCCCCTCCCATACCCTGAACCCCTCATTCCCAGTCTCACCCTGTAGCCCTCACCCTCGCACCCCAGCCCTGTGCCCCACACACACACCAAACCCCTCATCCCCAGCTCTGTTGGGTCGCGGGCATCAAAATTTTCTTCAACTGGGTCGCCAGAAAAAAAGTTTGAAAACCACTGTTGTAGAAGGCCTATAGATCAAACAATTGTGACTCATTGTTCACACACTAACAACTTCCACATCTGGGCTTGCTGTTGATGCCATAACCCTAGTGCAGCTCTAGACTTGGATCTCTCAAATACAGTGTCTAATCTGCAATGCTGACTATTGAATGAAGTCTTTAATGTAAGTCTTTAGCGTAACTAATGCTGCATACAGCTGTTGAGACACAACATACGGCTGAAGAGGTCTCTCTTGTGGTCTCTAGTGAAAAGTGTTTATTCCCCCATTCGTTTGAGACTGAGCATTTTGGGTACATATCTTTTTAAAGCTTCACTGCTGGCCTTTCACTGCAAATGGAGCTCTGTCTACACTGGGGAAATGTCTCACCAGTTCTACCAACAGAGCCCTTGTCTAGACAAGGATCCAGAAGCTTGACCCAATTTTACCATTGCTTTGATTAGACTTGCTTGTCAGTAGATTCATTTAATTAAAATAGTAGTAGTGTTTGGTCTGGCTACAAAACATTTGTCTATATCATCCACCAATTTTAACACTGCTTAAGCAGAAAGGGTGTTAGATCCTGAGAGCTCTCTACGGCCCCCGGCTGGTCAAAAGCAGATTTTTGTGGCTCCCTTTCCCTTGCCATGTCTTATATATGCCTTTATGCTGGGGGATGCAAGCAAGGGGGCCTAGAACTGGTTATGCCAACCCTAACTCACTTGGTAATTTTGCCACACCAAGGGAATCCCCAGGAAGCCCGTTGATTCAGCCTAAAACTGCTTTGCACTGCTGGAGTGGTGCAAAGTACCCTGAGCAGGTGTGAGAACCGGACACTTAGTTTTAATGGCTTCTGATCCTGCAATGATATACAAGCATGAGTAGCTCCATTCATACAAATAATTCTATTGAACCTGATGGGACAAGTTGCATGAGTGAAGTTACTCACATGTGCAAGAATTTGAAGGACTGGGCCCATAGATTAAAAACTCTTCAGAGCAGGGACGGTATCTTCCCAGATGTGTGTCTGGGCCTCATAGGCGCAGGAACTAGGGATGCAGCTGCAGCCCCGGGCTCCTGGCTGCCGGCCCCGTGCCCGGGTCCCAGCTGCCGGCCTCAACTCGGGGGATGGGGGGGGGGGGGGGGGGGGGAGGGGGAAGGGGTGGACAGGGGTAAGGGGCTGGCTTTCAACACCCTCACTATTAAAAATGTTCCAGCACCACTGCTGGGCCTACCAGATTTTGATTCAGTGCTACTGTAATATAAATAACAGATAATAATAAACACCGTATGTTAATAAAAAAGCCAATCAAATCTAATATAGATTCTTTTGAAGATTCTGTTTATCAGAAGGACAGTAGCTGAATCTGATCAGGAAAGTATTTCACTTCGGTGACACTGAACAGCTGCTAAAATCATGTCTCTGTTGTATCTGCAATGCAGCAAAATCTGAAGATAGGCAGATACTTTAGCTGAATTAATTTAGAATGGGTTGGGGTGCAATTGCTTTGTTTGCAAATGGAAGGATGTGTTAGTGCTGTTCGTTTTCATGTACGCTTCACTCAGTTTGTAGTGTGTGCCTCATGTTGTGATTTACATACAGGACCACTTCCGAGTCATTATACAAGTTCTCCTTCTCCAATTTCTGATTCTTTGGAGATTGCTGGAAGTAACATATTCTTTTATAAGTTGTAAACCAAGTACAGAAGCAACCTCTTTCCCCCGGTGGGTTTTCCCTGGATGACTCTTCAATTAACTGTTTAAACACAGGACTTTTGTCTGCCCAGTAGAGGAGGACCTACCAAGCAAAACCATGGTGGAGTTTTCCAAGGGGCTTATTGATACTGAAACTCTACACCCACTGAAATCTACAATAAAATTCCCATTTAATTCAGTGAGGGCAAAGTAAAGTCAACACTGAAAATCCCACTGTATGTCTGTAAAAAAACATCTTCAGGCATAAAAGATCATACGAATGCAGTTAGGCCAATTACAAAATCTCCTCTCACATCCCAGTTGGATGGATGCACTCTGGGTCTAATCATTCACGCTATAGCAATGTTCTTAAGAGCGTCCATACTTTTAAACATTTGGGTAGTGTCATTGACTTCAATGGGAATACTCACACGCCTAAAGTTACACATGTGCTTAAGTACCTTGCTGAACTGTGGCTATCGTATGCCACTAAACAGTTTAAAATAATCCACTATTCTGCTATATAGAAGATAATGGTTAAAGTAAACTAAACTAAACCCCTTCCAAAAGAGAGGTTAGATATAAGTGAGAAATGCATGGAAGAAAAAAGGACCAAATTTAAAGGGTTCATTTTAAGAGATGTTTTGCTGTGTGTGTACCTGGCAGACACATTTGTTGTGAAGGAAACACATTCATTGACAAACGTTAATGGTGTTGTTCCTGTAATATCCTCCCATTGAGCAGGGGTAGTTCCACCTGAAAGAACAAATAAATAAATAAAAACAATAATTTAAAAACAAGCAAAACCCCAGCCGTCTTTTTGTAGGAAATTTGTAGCATGTTTCAAATTGTTGTAAACAATAGGCCCAGTTTTGCCTTCAGTTACACCTGATGTTACTCCGCTGATGTTAACAGGATCGCATGGATTTAGCCAAGGAGAGAGTTTGCCCAAATAAACCAATATGCATTTTCTCAAACCATGAGTGCTGAAGCACAGCTCTGCAAACAATCTTTTCAAACTGCATCTGAAAGGTATGGGACTTACAGCTAAATGCAAACCTCTGACACAGTAAAGCGAAAAGATGAGGCTAAAATTTTCTGTATGTCATAACTAAATGTAACAGGGGCATGGATCAGCATTCACATCACACTTTCTGTCAGTACCTGGCCCAAGCTGGGAAAGCTAATGATCTAACCAGCAGACCAAATTCAGTAATGAATCCTGATCACATGCCACCTAAGGCATGTCGCGCATATGCTAAGAAGGAGACCAAACATAACTTCTGCCCATTCCAGATTCTTTACCCATATAGTGGGAAATTATCCCAATAACAACTCTGCTGAAGTTGTACTTGGGAGGAAGAAATTATAATAATACATTTGTGATTTCTAGTATATAGAACTTCCTTTCCCAATTATTCTGATTAGACTCAAGTTCAAGTTTTGCTATTTATTTCAGCGGAATTAATTCTGCAGAAGAAGATTTTGCAATTTATAGAAAAACTCTGTATTATATTTTATATGCCAGATTGTGAATCCCTCACTCATATTAATGAACAGTTACTCATAACTGATTTCAATGGCTTACCAAAGAGAACCATGGGTTCCAAATTTGGCCCTAAACTCTTTGGGACATTGATTGTGTTTCCTTATGTGTCATGAATGTTTGGACATCATTGACCAGAATATGGTGCTCCATAAACAGAACCAATGAAGAAAATGCTAAGAAGAAGTGAAAAGCTTGGGGCTATACAGCACGGAGAAAAATATACAATACTGCTGTTGTTCTCCCAAGTGGTGAAATATCAGTTCCACTCCAGTGGAATGAATGCAGTTTCTTTTTTATACACAGCCCCCAGCAAAGATTTTACAGAGATTTATGTCAATGTAATCTCTTTAATACATTTGATCAACAACACTTTGTGATCTCAAGATTCTGCATCACTTACAAAACTCTGGTGCACTAAGCCTACCTGTTATGCTGCATAGTAATCTTAAAGTGGGTGTTTCTCCCCCATAACCATTCATCATCCCATCACTGGAGGCTTTGGGGACAGGAATAGTCATTGTGATTGGCTTGTGGAATTTCCTCCTCCTTGGCTCCAGGGTGACTATAGGGCTGAAGGTTGCCTTGTTCCCTAAAATCTTCCTTATAAGTTCATTGTGCATAGGTTGGGCCTTTCCGAAGTAACAAGACAAAAATGAATAAACAATATGGAAATGTAGCTTAATGAAGATGTAAATGAATGTATCTGATCCCTGCCAGTGTTATATAGCAAGTCATAATTAAATCCCACAACTCCTTTGTGAGCTATGTTAGTATTACCATCATAGCACAGAGAGGTTAAGTGACTTGCCCAATATCCTACAGTCAGTCAGTGACAGAGTCATGAATAAAACTCAAGAAATCTGACTCTCACTACCTTGCTCTAGCTTCTAGACCTGACTCTCTCTCCCACAATTTTTATTTTGCTGTAGGGGCATTTTAGATAGCAGTGGGCAAATGGTAAGCTGATGTAATTGTTCAACTGTCTGCTGATTATGCAATATAGAAAATGTATTGTTTTACCAGGGTCATGGCTCAAATGAAAAGCCAACGCGGAAGGTGTAATAAGCCTTGTCACTGCTTCTCTGTACCTGGAGGCCGACACGAATTCGCTTGGTTAGTGCTCCTTCTGGAAAGACTGCCTGCACTTGTGGTACTACAGTGCTGCTAAGCACACCTCCCTCAGGTCCAATGAGGTTGCTGTCCTGTTTGATCCGGGACACCACTGCAAAATACTGTGGGAAATCCCTGGTGATGATACGGCAGATACGCTTCTTCTCAAGCTCCTCCGGAGTGTCAAGTACTGAGTGAAAAATGAACCACATTCACACAACAAGTATTTCATAGAGACAACACAGCAATTTCCAGACAAGAAAAGCTATACATACATAGCAATTAAAGGTCAAAAGTTTTAAAGACCTTTGAAATTTAAAAGCCAGTAAAAGCCAGAATTCGGGGGGGGGGGGGAGAAATTAGAGATAGCCTAAAACACCTAATTCAGAACCAGGCCTTTACTTTCCTATAACGTGGGGGACATATAAATCAAGAACTTTGGTTTGAGCTGATCTTTACACTATGGACCTACTTGAAGGCCAAGGATAACATCAACAGCACAAAGCTCCAATCAATGTGTTACTTAAGTATGTGCCTGACTTTAAGCACATAGGCAGTCCTATTCAGTTCTATAGTATTACTAACATGCTTAAAGTGAGGCACATGCTCAAGTACCACAGTGAATCAAGATCTAAGCAAACTTTTTAAAACTAGAATTCATCCTTCAGATATGTCCTCGACTCTAGCACAAAGCCCCTCTCCCTGCCGTAGATCACTGTCAGTGCCACTATGGAGTTATTACTATCCCCTCAAGTTGCAATAGTATCTGTGAATACTCAGCCCCATCCAGACAAGCAGCCATCCATAAAAGGTAATAAAATACAGTGCAGTGAGATATTTGCGAAGGAAGCTCTTAGTTTAGTATTGTGAAAAGGGCATGGGAATTCATGTACCAAAAGGGAGTTAAACAATGAGAAGTTTTATATATGGAGGTTACTTACTGTCACTGGAAGTTCTTTGAGATGTGTGGTCCCTATGTGTATTCCACATGTGGGTATGAATACACACCATGCACCCGAATCCGGAAATTCTTACAAGCAGTGTCCACTGGCCACCACATATGCAGTAGGTGTCTCCTTGTGCTCATGACTGAAGGTATAAGAGCCAGCGCGGGCTGAAATCTCTCCAGTCCCTCTTCTTACCGCAAATCCAACAGGATCCGAAGCAGGGGGACAGAGGGTGGGAAGTGGAATCCAGAGATAGAGACCACACATCTCAAAGAACCTCCAGTTACAGTAAGTAACCTCCATTTCTTCTTCGAGTGCTGATTCCTATGTGCATTCCACATGTGGTTATTGGCAAGCAGTGCTAAGATTGTAGGTGGGAGTGAGGAAGCCAGTGGCAAAGATGCTTGCGGTACTGCAGATACCATTGCTGTATCCGCAGCAGAAGTGTGAACTGAGAAAGAGGGACTGAAGAGGCATCAGCCCACACTGTCTCTTATACCCTTGGTCAGTACCACGAGGAGATCTACTGCACGTGTGTGGTTCAACAGACACTGCATGTAAGAATTTCTGGACTCGGGCACATGGCACACATGCATACACACGTATGGAATACATTTAAGGACCAGCACTCGAAGAAGAACTGCTCTTTACCAGATATTTTTTGCCCCTTTGCTGCTTCTAAATGTGCTAGGATGTCAGCAAACATGTACTCCCAGCACCGCCATGTACAGTAAGCATGTTATGATGTTCCACTGTGATTCCTGTGAAACATCAGCAGAATGTGGCAACATGGCCTCCGGAGAGGAGGTCAGTAGTGAGGCAGTCAATCAGAGAGGAGATAAACTAGGTCTTACCCAGATATAGAAATAATACAGGACAAAGGATCGTTTTAATTCCTCTGTTATCCTCTTCAACCCTCACCCCACCCTTGTCCCAGCACTGAGTACCTTCATCCATTCCATTGAGGATTTCATTCAGTTCATCCTCGGTATATTCACAGAAATGCTCCTTCCAGCTGTCCCCATTCTCACTGCGCAGGATTACCAGCTCTCTCTCTTTCCCACGCAGAGCTGCAAAATGGGGGATCTCCACGATCACAGGCCTGACACAGCAACACAGCACATTAAATGTATATGGGTGAGAGAGGAAGAAATAGAAGTAACAGCAATCCATTCAGTCTGTTACAAAGTAACCTGGAATTCTACCCACTTCTCCAGCATAGTCGGGTGCAATCCTAAACAGCATATCAGTGGGTCACCAGAGCATCTTCGCTTTTTATAAGGACCCAGTATGTACGGTAGGACAGTTTAGATGTGCATACATCTCTTTGCACACTGTGGACAGCACTCAGTAAGGAAGCAGTACTTTGAACAGAGATTTTAGAGTGTTGTTGCAAACTGATAAAATTACTAAAACTCATGCTCATTTTAGCTGTCACCACCATGTGTGTTAACCTGTGCAATCTCATTTCAAAGCAATTCCACTGCAGTATATACAGACAGTAGGACAAATTCTGATCTGGTATACTAGTGAAAATCAGACTAATGTCACTGAAGTCAATGGGCTTGATTTAGCTCTCATTTATGCTGATTTTACACCAACATTAATCTGGATTTCTACTAGTGTAGAGGAGATAAGAATTTGTTTCATTATGAACACACGTAAATATATGTGTGCGTGTATGTGTGCGTGTGTGTATATATATATATATATATATATATATATACACATATATGCTCTCACACGCTCATAACTCTGGTATGTTCTACACGCTGGAAGAAAATATAAACATACACGTATACATAAACCTCACGAGTGCATAATGATATGGGCCATCATGTACTTGATAAGTGTCATGCTATTTCATACTATGTTATATTATATACAACATATAACATATTACTATTGGTTTGGTAGCAATGGGTGCAAAATAGACACACACGCAGAAGATTCTTTTTAGTTCTAATCCAGGTTGCTTTGCTACAGACATCAAGCACATAACAGCTGGCACATTTTACAGCTAGGAAGATCTCATGCTAAAACAAAAATGAAGGTCACAGAATTTTAAGAAAAAGATACAAACATACCACCAAAACAAAAACCACATACCACAAGGATTGGAAAATGGTCCACTAAAGGTTAGATATACAAAATTTCAAATCATAGAAAGGGACAATGTCATGGGCACAATGACATAAAAAAATAAATCATATTGCAAGAGGAGGAGAAGAATGGGGGGGCCAGCATCCATCAATTTGTTTTAAGTCTCTCCTACCCAAGGAATTTGGTCCCAGGAGGCCCCAGCTGAAGGATTCGGCTGACCAAGCTTTCTCCCTCATTAAGTGGGGGAGGAGCCGTAGGCAGATGAAGTTTACTGAGTACATCCAAAGCAGCAGTGAAAGAAAGAACATAAATAAGCTTTATGTATGTTTTTTTCAGAACCCCAGTGCCACTGTCTGGTCAACAGAGTAGAATTAGGTCAAACACTGAATAAGGTTCTGCCCTAGTTGTGCCCCACTGCTGATAGAAATTAATGAAATGCTTCCATTAATGTCAATGGAAGTTTTGTCATTGAACTTAATGGGAGCAGAATCCGGCTCTTAGAATGGATATGTCAGTGTAGTACAGTAATATTTGTGTTGGCAGGTACAGTGCACAATACCTGATTTCACTGCCAGGACGCCACCCAGAAAAATAAACTTATGAGAAGCGACACAAAAACTCTGACTAATGTATCCATGTGTGTTATTCAGATGAGTTTTTATTGAGATTCCTCATTGAATGGAGGGACCATTTAAAAAAATAAAAGGTACTGCATGTTAGTGTGAATGTGGGGAAGAAGGACAGAAGATTAGAGAAATAATGAATGTGACAGCAGAGGTCATTTTGCTGGTATTTTAAATGTGGGTTTTGATAAGAACTGACCTACATTTGAAGAGAATGTCAAATTAGTATTTTGTTAGGCAGCTTTTCTGCTGATGCATCTGAAACCTAGGAGCACCCCATTTGTCACAGAAGAGGACTGGCCTCCAGCTTTATGTCCCCAGTGTTTCCTATCTCTTCCTGATCCACTATTAAAGAACAGCATCAATAAAATGGTGGGAACAAGCACGGATACTTTCCCCTCTCGTGCTCCATTCTATGTGTTTTTAAAAACCATCAAACCACTGCCCACTCTTTCTCAAGCTCATTCCTCCAGATATAACTTCATCAGGTGGCTCTGCTGACTACCTTTACATGACAGGACTTAAATACAATTGAATTGTTTCAAAATGGATTTAAACTGTTGCCTTTCATAACTTCATTCATCAATTTCCAACTGAAGCCATTCACTCTATTGGAGGGGTTCCTTCAATCATCCATTTTTGGATGCCACAGTTGATAAGGAAAGTAGCTGATAAAACAAACAAAAGTGTGGAGAACTGCTGGTTTCAGCTGAAAATTGCTAAAACAAGCACAGCAGTAGTTGCAGTTCTGATCTTTCTATTGGGTATTGCAACATAGGACAAAATAAACTGCTGGAGAATTCCTGAATTGTCCTATTGTTTGAACTTGCAATTTTAACCCCAGAAAAATCAAAGGCTTGTGCTTCCCTGATAGTCCAAATTATTGACAGCAGGCCTATAGACAAAACACAAGTTTCTACTATAAGGAGCTTTAACTTGTGCTGTATCCGTAGCAGGCTTTAAATTTGGTTTTAGATCAGTGCTGTGCTATTTGTTATTCATGCCTTAACTGTGGACAATTTAAATAGAGTATGAATTGCCTGACACTGATAGCAATGTGATTTCCATTTGACTAGCACGGCACTGATTAATAAACTTATTCGAGGAAGCATACTAAACCTTAGTGTTAGTGGTTAAAAAACATCAGTGTTTTCAAATGAAAAGGCATAGAAGCTAAGTGAACTAATTGCTGATTTGCACTACGGGGCCTATAACGTTATGATCGATATGGAACAGCATGCTAAATAGACCTTTTCAATTTAAATCTTGAAGCAGGGGCTACCCCAGTGCAATTTGCAAACAGATGGAGATATACCTATCATTTTCATTTAGGTCAAATAGCAAGTCTTACCCAAGAAACTGAGCACCAGAAGGTCCAACTTCAATCAGGCGGCTGGCCAGACCTTCTCCTTCCACCATCGGCGGCATGGTGGCCAGTCTATGACGTTTGACCAACCGGCAGGTTACTCGTGTTGGGGCAGTGCATTTCCGAGGCGGAATAATGATCCTTAACCCATTGTGTCTGCAACCTCGCATGGCACCACCACGGGCATCCACCATGAAGCTAACCAGGAAGCTGAAAACAATAAATTAATATTAGATATGTTTGGAAAGTATATTAGCCAAAGCAAAATCACTTCAGTTATGTTCCAAATGGTTTTCTTCCAAAATGTAACAAACTATATATCTATGGCACTTTCTTAATATGTACAGTTAAAAAAAACAACCCCCTTTTGTATATGTGGCAATAATTCATGCTAACATCCCTGATGGCTTGCACTAGAAATATTTATCTTAAGAGCTTTTCATAGCAACAATCTTATTTTGCAATGCAACTGATGGTAGAAATATACTATATATAAAATATAAGGTCATGACCAAGTGCCTCTATTTTATACATACATACATACATACATATATATATATATATATATATATACACACACACACACACACACACACACACACACACACACATACATTTTCATATTATATATTTTCCCCAATGCTATCTGGCGTCTTTCTACCACTAGTGTCATTGCAAACTAAGATGGGCATGATACACACACGTATAATATACAATTTTTATATATATTATTAAAGAAAAATGGCTTACTAATGCAATAATATAATGATTTTTTGAAAGGTCAGTATAATTCTTTTAGTAGTCTGATGTAACCAGAACTCCTAAAATTATGTAATTCACAGATTATGAGCCAAATCTTGTTCTGGAGAAAGCAGTTACAACTCCTATTAAAGCCAGTGGGAGTTGTACCTCTTTATATCAAATATGAATGTCTCCCTCTCTTTAACATTTAACATTTCTTAAAAACTTATCGCTCTATGATATCATGACAAACTGACTAGAGAGAAGAAAAATAATCTTCAAGATTTCAATTCACATTTTTTTAAAGTGACTATATTGACTTTTAACAAGATAAACTCTACTTCTGACTATATTTAAGGTGCCCACTTTTCTCCTTACCCTTTCCAAAGACAAAACAGGACAGGAGAAAATAAGGATGGGAAAGAGGCAAATAAAGTGGGATTCTTCTATTAAAATTATATCCTTCTACAGAGAGAATGGCAAATTATTATAATCGAATGTGAGATGGGCTTGTTGTCAATTAAGATACTGTGCCAACGTGCCTCTGTTATAGAAGGATAAGACAACTACAGAAAGATGTGGAGATCTGAGCAGCTGGTAACCATTCTGTAGTGGGTTTATTTATAAATTTCTGCTTTCTCTCTCTTACTATATACAATGTTAATATGTCCCTGTGGGGTGCCTTACAGTGGCAGGAAGACATCTGTGGCAAGGAGCTCCCTCATGGCTCGAGATAAATTGCCTTTATTTTTTTCCTTTCTCCTACCTATAGCCCACTTTGTTCAGCCATGACTAGACAATGTGCTGATTTTGATAGTTTTGCTGCGATCTGGGACACAGCTTAATTAAGGCCATTTCTGTGAAATGTACAAAACCCTCAAAAAGTGGCTACTTTAAATTTTATATTGTTCAGTTTAATGACTTATGATCACCACTGCCCTGGGGGTGGAGAGGTTGGCTTGCTGCAGTGAGAGTAGGGGAAAGGACGTGAGATAGGATAATACCAGACCTACTTTTAGGACTACACTAGTCACCACATAGGGATTCACACAAATGCTAACATCTGCACTGAGAGACCTGCAATAAAAAAAATCTTACCACATGAGAGACAAATACAGATATTTTTCACTCTCTTGGGTCACTCGGTATTACACATATTTGAATACATTCATTATCAAAACATTTACAATTCATTCCACATGCTATTAAAACAAAACACCCAACACTCCGTGCAAGTCACGTCAATAAAATGAACGAGAGGAAGGAGCCACAACCTGCCAATCTAAAGCACGCCATGCACCATGGATGCCATATGAAGAGACTTCCCACTCCTTCCCACACATGCAGTCTCCTATTCTACCACCATTCAGATACCTCTAGATTTTGTTTAGTGTAATACCCTATGGAGTACAACCATTATCTTATTCCTCAGGGGGCTGATGTTTCTGTGGTTTTAACAAAAAACAAACAAAAATGAACAAGTGTTTACAGCTTTAATTCCTTAGGCTTCATTTTTGAAGTAAGGACTCTACCTATCTTAATCCATTCTAGATATAGTTTAGAGTCATATATATATGAATAGGGATGAAAGAGGAAATCAAGGATTCTAATTGCTCAGGTTCTACAATAATGCTACGTGACTGCCTTTCCAAATTAAAACAAAGCCCTTATCTGGATGCAGTTTTTGTGTCACCTTTGTAATAAATGGATGAAACTGTTTGTGACTTTTGTCTCTGAGAATCAGCCTAAAATTCAGTGATGAAGAATGCTTTAGAAATGCATTTAACAACAGCCTAAGTTCTGGGATGGCATAAGCAGTTCACAATCTGGTATTAATATTCTGAACAACTACAGAAACCGCAAACACTGTTATTAGAGCTGTCTGAATTATTTGGTGCAAATAATTTACTGAATGAATTTTGGCATTTTTCTTCAAGTAAACTAATCATTAATACAATTTTGTTCACTGTTCAACAAGTGCTCAAGAGGGTCAACTAATAGTAAACGATAATGGAGTCAACAATTTTTTCCATTTCATTCAGGGAATATTTTATTCCCAATGAAAGTATTTTCCTTAGAAACTAAGCAATTCATCTCACATTGTGTGTCAACATTGCTGAGCACACTGGGGCTGCTACCAAAATACAAATAAATAGATAACAATATCCATAAATAGTAATTCAACCATCCCTAATAATGAGTATGGCAAAGGACCCAATCAAGGAATCCTTGCTACAGTAGCAATACTGGACTCTATTTTCACAACTGGTACTTTCTTTTTAAGTGAAGCTTTCTAAGGAGTGAAAGTTTTCAGATAAGCTAAAAAATGGAAAGTGAACTGAAATGATGATGCTTTCCCATGAAACAAACAGCCTGTATACCTATGAAGTAGCCCCGGAAGATGATATCTATTTAGACAACAAATCAGTGGTGTAATAGTGAGGTTAGAAATAGGACAAATATCTCTGGTTTTGAGCATTCTTATTTATACTGGAATTTTGCAGCATGTTCACAAGTAAAATAGTAGCAGCCCCTGTGTTCCATCCACTGGAATATCCAAGATCTACTGCAGGTCAACTTACAATTCTAGTATGGTCTGTGTCTCTAATTAGTGTCACAGGTGCAAAGTGCTAGCTATTTAACTTCAGCCCTTCTCAGCCAAAGACATCAAGGCACGAAGCAAACTAACTTGTCAATCTTCAGTTTATTTAGGGTATATAGCAGTTGGAATAAGCAAGAGGAAGATCCCAAATATTTATTAGTAAGGCGGGGATTACCCTCAAAAACAGAAAAAATAGGCCAAGAAAGGCACATTTGAGAGAGGATATAAAGATAAGGAGAGTAAAAAAGGACCAGTGGACTAGGGACACTGACAATTCAGAAGTAAAGATGATTTTGTTAATACAGCCATTAATAAAATGCTTAATCCTGCTTTCACTCATTTCAATGGTGAAGGATCAGGCCTAAAATGCAGGTCCGAGAATACATAGTAAGTGGAATATGCGCAAATCAGCACGTGTGGATGATATTTCTATTGATTTCAATAGGACCAGGATTTCACCCTATATGGTTTAAGAGTTTTAAAGTCATGAAACAATGAATTTATTAAATCACTGGTAAATAATTTTGGAAAAAAAATAATCCTGGAGAACCAAGGAGGGAGCAGATGTATATTAAAAATCAATTGTCATATCAGTCTTCTAAAAATGGGAATAAAATAAGCAACCCTGATAATTACATCCAATAAGGCTAACCTCTATCCTGAGTATAATAATGGAAAAAAATATTAAGAGTAAGAAAACCCAGTAACCTCCTGGAGTATAATAGTCATAAGCAATTATGGGTTTGGTAAAAACAAAGGCATGGGGGTTGAATAAAAACAAATCATGACAGAAAATTAATTGCTTTAATGTGTTCAGTGTTCTGATTCAGAAACTTTTACATAAAAAGTCAAGCGGTGTCATACTGACTAAACATTTTCTGAGGGACTGTGAACAAAAGTTAATTATCAGCAGCAATGTATTGAGTTGGAGGAGGATGCTGCAGGAATGGTGCTTAATTTGATATTTTATTAATGATCTAGAGGATGAGAAAACAGCATATTATTTACATTCATAGATTATTCTAGATTGGGAGGTGATTCAAACATCCGCGAAGACATAAGAATAAAATAAGGGTTAAGATGATGAGCAGGAAATAACAAAATTAGATAAATGCAAGCTAATGATCAATATATCTATGGAAGAGTAATCTGAAACTGATATTGAGTAGGAAGGAAGAACCTGGAATACTGTACATCAAAGGAGAACTATGAGTAATAGAGAACAGCTAATTAGGTATGACTTTGCTATTTGTTATAGCAGCAAAATAAAAAGCCTTTGCAATTTTAGACATATGCATGCATCATTTCACAATCTAGAGAGTTAATAGTTCCTTTCTGTATGATTCCAATGAGATCATACCTAAAATATTATGCACAGTTCTGGACACCTAGTACTAGAGATGGGCTAGAGTCCTAAGTTTTGAAGTGGGCAGTGCTATCAAAATGTGGATCAAACATAAGATCCACATTTTGTAATCACTCTCTCTCTCTTTGCACAATGGTACTCCAATTCCAAGCTTACAAAACTTGAAAGGAGTTGGGTCAAAATTCATACCCAAACCTGAATTTCATGGCTGGGGCCCATGTGTATTCAGTACCAAGATATGTTGTAAAAGGGAAGTTAGAGAATATCTGGAGAGATTGATTTATGGGGAAAAGAACTAAACTAATTTACAGAAACTGATGAATATGGGAGATATAATAGACATCTATAGTCATTTTAAGCGTGTAAAAACAGTAAAGGAGAGGTATTAGGATGGTACTGAATAGCGTCAACTTAATACAAATATAAGAGAAACTTCTAACCATGAGGAGGACTCTTTCAGAAAAATCTCTCTCAAGTGAGTGATGGGAATGCCTTCCTTTGAGCCATTAAAACTAGAGTACCCAAAACACATACCTGTATCAAAACAACAATAGGCTAGATGAATCTTTTCTAGTTTTACATCTTTATGTATATCTGAAGAATTCTGTCACACAACATGTTTTAAAGGGCCCTCCTGTAATAAATACATCTCAGGGAAATGTACTTCTTAAGTGTGGGTAGGTGTATTTGGTTTATTAGAATGATGTTCTATTTAAACTTTAATTGGGTCCTGATTCAAGATGACAGCAATTCAGGAGTTAAAGCAATGAAGTCAACATATACATGTGTCAAGGGTGACTGCACTAGCAAGAAGGTAAACTCCTGGAGGTAGGGATGGACAACTTTTGAATACGTTTCATTTTCTGGCAAAGTTTTAAAGAAAAATGCTAGAAACGAAGCTTAGCAAAGGTAGGATATGATCCTAAAGTTTATATAGTCTTGCAGGACTGGATCAACCAGCGCAGTTAATATGCTTTGCTTCCTAGAGTTTAGAATTAATCATGCTTGCAAGCAAATGTCAAGTGCTTATTATGGCACAAATCAGATGAAAAGGAATTTTCAGGGCAAGACAGTGAAATTGTCCTTTTTAGGGGGAGTTGTAGTAGGTTTGGAAGATGAAAAGCAATTAAAGGGAAGAAAAGCAAATACTCTTCAGGAAATATGATGTAGGTTGGGTATTCCATGGGAGGAGGCGAAGACATACCGGTTACAGGTGAGACCAACCAATGTCCATTCTACTTAATGGATCAAATTCAGCCCATTGACATCAGTGTAGTTGCCCTCACTTACACAGAGGGTTTAACTGCTAAATTTTGTCCAATATGAAGGTCCTAACTGACTGGAACTATATTTGGGAGGAGTTGATATGTGAGGTGCATGAAAGCCATAAGGGTAATTTTATGTACTTCATGGAGGTAGGTCATAGTATTGTGTAAATATAGCATTCAAGCTTTATGGGCCAGATTTGTTAAATAAAACGCACGGTGTTCAACTTATCTACCTTGAGAACACGAAGAGCTGAAATGCCGTTCCAAGAAATCTTTCTATTGCGAACTTTCTGCTGTGACACTAAGGGCTTGTCTACAGGAACATTTAGTTTGCAGCAAGCTCGGGGGTGAATCTACCCTGCACTAGCCTGCTGCACAAGAACTAGCAGTGTGGATCCTGCCAACAAGCACTAACAATTTCAAAGCAGGGTAGGTCAAAACGCACTAAGGAACCATTAGTGTGCATCAGCACAGTCTGCATGGCAGACTAGTGTGGGGTAGATTCACAGCCCGACTTGCTGCAAATTAAAGATTCATGTAAACAAACCCTAAGTTATTTCCTGGTCTGATTTTCTTGGTATGACAATAACATGTAAGCTAACTATTTCTGTGCCCACTTAAAAATACAGCAGAGAAATAAACAAGGAAATAAAGAATGGATAGGCCTATATTTAGGGGGAAGAGAAGACATTATTTTTGGGCTTTGCTAAGTGTCATTGTTTTGTAAACTGCTTTGCTAAGAGTTAGTCTCTTCGGATAGCAATGAATACCAGCTTGTTGGGACTCTGCTGCACATCTCTGTCTGTAGAACCATTTGAACAGCCATGCAAACACAGCTCCATGAAGAGTATTTCTAAAACAGGCTGTGGTTAATGTTAAAATGAATATAAAAACGGAAAATGCAAAAGCAATACACCCTTATTATACTGTCAGTTCAGAAATGATTATTCAATTGAGTTAGTAAGGCACATGCGTCTCATCATTCAGCAGGAAACAATGATAACAGTCATCACTGAACTATATCCACCATAGATACACTTAAGAAATCTTCTATCTAAGTCAGCTTAACTAATATAAGAAACAGGGAAACAAGGAGATAGCAGCATTCAGAGTTAGTCAGAGTGTGAAAAAAGTAGAAACAAATAGTTTTATCAGGCTGCTTCAGCAATTCTCAAGTTTACAACTGGAGAGGAAAACTGATCCAAAGTTCGCATTCAAAGATACTAAGAATCAAGGCCTTAATCCCCAATGCCTGCTGAAGTTAATGGGAGACTTTTCAGTTTCTTCAGTGAGTGCTGAATCAGGCCAAAATTGAGCTATATGTAGTATGGGGGGAAAAATACATTCTGGGAGGACAAAAAACATGGCTCTGGCTGCAAAGCATCTGGAAACAATTGTAATTTGCATACAGTAATGTACCCTTCACTGATGAGAATACTTTTAGTATGCTAAACGAAGAGCAGGACTGTTGGTGTGCATCCTTTAAAAATGATGTTGTGAATCATTACTTTCCTAATAATTTTATTCATCTGAGAATTTAAAAGTATCTTTCAACTGCCATGACAGTGATGTTTTAAAAAAATGAAGGGAACATATCTCCAATGAATGTATCAGACCTCAGTTTGTTAATAGATTACAATCTCCTTCAGGTTGAGATTGCATCATTTGCTATGCTCTGTACAGCACCGAACACATCAGTGGCTCAGCAAAAAATTAATCATAGTAGTGCAGCACTTGGCACCAACATGAAGGATTCAATTTAATTCAATAAAATCAAACAGAATTAAGAATATACGACCAATTTTACCCTTTTTGTATCAAGCGTTTTTCTGATAAAGGGGAGTAACACAGTTGGGAGAAAAGGGACACATTGAAAAATAGGGCTCTGTTTAACTGCCATCCCGAGGGTGGGTGGACAAACATACTAAAGCATCCTGAAGTGAGGTAAATAAGGAGAAGGATGAAAAGGGGGGGGGGGGCAGCCACATATTAACAGAATTATGCAGACGTTCACCTGCTGTTGTCATGATCAAGGCATGGAGAGGAGCGGCTGCAACAGAATAGATCATTTAGCATAAAAAAAAGAATGGATTAAGTGAAATATAAGAAGAAAACAGAAGAGGATTTTGACTTAAATATGTAACTTTGTATATATATATATATACAGTATATATGAGGAGAGGATAAAAGTGAGTGTGGGATATAAGCATAAACAAACATCATGGGTTACTACCACAGCAAAATTAGAATGATTTAGGATGTCATCAGATCCTCTCTACATGTGTGCCTTAATCCCAGTTCTGAATTGGAGTGCTCAGGTTGGCACTCATGTACCTAAATTGGGCATTTGGAGTCCTGAATACTTATCTGAAACCAAATAAGGGACTGTGCTCCCTAGTTCAGGTGTTCAAATTTGAAAATTGGGACCACAGCATAATACGAGTAACTCTGTATCTACATGTCTCAAATAATTTCATCAAGAGATTCTGGTGACATCAAATTCCATAAGAGCTAAGATTCCATCTCAACCCTCTCTTCTCAAGTCTCCTATCAAGAATCTTCTGACCTCCAGCTTACCGCAGCTTAGCATGTTTCTGGTCCTCCTTTCATTCCCCCTCCAGAGTGATACAGTTTAAGCTTTTTCTTCTTCTTCTAACCATTTATATTCCCGATAATACATTATATGGTCATTTATGTACTTTTCTGACATCACTTTCTTATTATGGATGTCTCCAGTGTCATTTACTTCTTTTGACATCAGCAGAACTTTGCCCATAATGAAACACACCCAAGTTTTGTTTTAAATAACCTGTTAAAGGCATCAGTGTATTCTGATATCATTTAATTTTGTACATTTGAAAAAGACTCTCAGCTGCTACCTGCCAGGTCCTCTTTTCACAACTATTTCCAGGAAGCGAATGTCACACTAGGGAAAACAATGTAAGGGATCCAAAATACAACAGTTTAAATTTATTTTGTTTACCTTGTTAGCAATGATCCAATCTCCTTTTTTGCAGACAGGCAGCTAAGAATGATAACTCTAATTATTTGTCAATTTCAGCTGCTGATTCTCTAGTGTTTTTTAGTCCCACTGATGGAAATAATGATTTCCAGGAGGGTAAACTAACACAACCCCAACTGTTTAGCTTTGCTAGATACACATGCATTTGGATTGTCTATTAACCAATCAGACTTCTATTTCCATAATGTCTATTTAATAAATGTACGTGTATATGTAATAATAAAAATAATACATAGCACTTACTTATGCAATGCATTTCATCTGAGGATCTCCTTTTTTATATATAAAATGTAAGCATTATCATCTCCATTTTACAGGAGAGGAAACTGAAGCACAAAGGGGTTAAGGGCTTGTCTACACAGTCATTCAATGTGTGGCAAGTCTGGGTGTGAATCTACTGTGCACTAGCTTGCCACATACTAACTGACCATGTAGAGCTTGCTACCATGTCCTGCAAGTTCTATAATGTGCTTTGCCATACTGCTATTTGAAATGGGAATAGACCAAAGTGCAGCAGGGTCCACATGGTCAGTTTGTGCGCTGTAGATTCACATCCTGGCTTGCAGTGCATTACATCGCTGGGTAGAAAAGCCCTAAGTGACAATTTGCCCTAGATCACAGGGGCAAGTTAATAACAGAGTGGGAACTAGACTCTAGGTCTCTTGGCTCCAGTCTCATGCTCTAACCAATTGATCACATTGCCTCCCTGTTTGCAATATAAATTTAACTAAATTGAACAGGTAACTGTTAAATATATATTTGTCTTGAAGATTTCTGGTAATCACATAATTCAGAAGAGTAAAGCTGAAGTTGCTTGCATGTCACCAAAACCCAACAAAACAAGTACAATGTAACAATTTTGCATATGTAGTGTGCCTTAAAACCGTACCAGTTGCATTCAATACTACAAACCACATTGATAGATGGAAAAGATACAAAAATGTGCTATTTTCAAGCAATATCTAAAAACTGCAAATGGAAAGAGATCTTCAAATTCAGTGTTTCACTTTCCAACCTAATGAAAACATTATGCCCCTTTCACAATAAGATTACAAACTCACTGTAAACTGTGTGACTAAAACTATTTAAAGAGACCTGCATAAACCTGGCCAAAACCTTTGTCTCTCCTAACACATAGACAGGATGTTAAAAAAAATAGAGAGACTATATTCTCTGGCATTTCCAGCAAAGCAATAGGTCTTTGCCTTCTCATCGGTTACAGCGTCCAAGAGTCTCTAACATATTGAAACAATCTTAACTTTGCTGAGCATGTTATCTCATGCATGTCTCCTAATGAGAAGGACACTGATTGTCTCAAATGGAGGTTAGATGTCCTCCTGCTGGAAAATTATAATGTGGCAGAATTTTTCCCCTTTAAGCCGGTTTATTAAGATACAAAGAGAATACTAACTCTGCAAAATAATTGGGAAATGTTCTACACTAAATTACTGCACACTATTGGGGTGGCAGCTCCCATAGAAGGAGGGAGTTTTCTTGTTTCCAAGATGGCTGCCAGAATCTCTGACCTTTGTTTTGTTGTTCTTCACTCAGATGACAGATGAGCCTATAAAAGGACAGAGTTGGGTGGATTTAAATCATAGACTCATAGAATATCAGGGTTGGAAGGGACCTCAGGAGGTCATCTAGTCCAACCCCCTGCAGGACCAATCCCCAGACAGATTTTTGCCCTAAATCCCTAAATGGCCCCCTCAAGAATTGAACTCACAACCCTGGGTTTAGCAGGCCAAACCACTGAGCTATCCCTCCCCCACTTAAACCCCAAATGTAGGGTTAAAATACATACACACACCCTCCCTTTAACATACAAAAGAAAAGTTAATTCTTTTGATAAGTCAGTGGAAGGTAAGAATACACTTTCATGGGGCATTTTTCAAGGGTTGGATTTTGGTTCTTGAAGGCTCCTTTAGTATTATATTTCATTGGCACATTAACAGTATAAATCAAAAACAGAATAGCAATACCAAATATTACCTCTGTCTTTTGTTAAATACAATTATTTTCCCCATGGCTTTACAGAGGCAGTTGCTTTTATTACATTTAATTGCCTGACCCTGGAACTCAGACTTGGTCATACAAAAGATCTAAGGAATCACTGATTAATCTTTGAATGAAAGTGTGAAATGATCAAGCCCCAGAGAATGTGAAATCACTGTTATAAAAAGTAAATAACTTATCACCTGCAATCATTGGACAGTCCAACTTTAGTGTAGTGAAAAGTAATATACATCCTCTGGGAAAAAGACCTTTGCTTATTTGGCACCAATAGCTAGAATTAGCTGCCAAAATAATTTAAAATTTAAATCTCGACACACTCTCTCTCTAGATATAAATGTTCAGAGTTACTTATTTTTGATACCAAAATACAAATAAGCAAACAAGCCCACAATTTTTTTGCCCATACAGGATAACATTTATAAACACTGATTTGGCCAGGTCTGGTTTATTTAGTTTCTGTCTTGTTCACGTTTCACCAAACTGGTTCTAATAAAAAGGCTAACCAAAAATAATCAGTTGTGGGGATAGCTGAAGGCAACTGGTCAGGAATGTGTAAATCAAAACGTTCATAAGGCTACCTGAATGTTACTTGGAGGACATTAATTGATTAGCAATAAACATAACTTACTGTGCTAGATTTTTGCATCACACAAACAACCACTATTCACTTTATTTATTAGAAAGATAATCTTCATTAGAAGAGACAGTCCCTCAAGATTCTGGTTGTAGCACTGGTGATTTTTAGAATTTTTTCACAACTTTCATTACATACTGCTGTTCTGGAGCATAGTTTACTATACTTGCAAAAAGCACTTGCACAGTTCACTTAGCCTCCCTTCTCTCACTTCTTTGCAATTTCATTCTGTGAAGGCTTGATACAGGGAGGTGCTGAGGGCTCAAAGTTGCTCAGCTCCCTAACTCCCACTGATGTCAAATGACCTCACAAGAGGTGCTCATCACGTGGCAGGATCAGGCCCTTGCTCTCCATTATTAGTGAAAGCAAAAAAGGCATGATATGCTTTTTCTCTCCATAAAAACCAAGCATTTTTTTGGGGTGGGGTATTAATAGTTTGCCAAAGGCTGGGAATGGTGACAGGGGATGGATCACTTGATGATTACCTGTTCTGTTCATCCCCTCTGGGACACCTGGCATTGGCCACTGTCGGAAGACAGGATACTAGGCTAGATGGACCTTTGCTCTGACCCAGTATAGCCATTCTTATGTAGTAATTGGTCAAAATCCCTCATGTAAAGCCTGATTCAATGCTTGCTGAAGTCAATGGAAAGATTCTCAATGACTTCAGTGGTCAATGGATCAGGCCCATATTCATATTCTTCTGACTAGCTGAATTTGAATGGTTATAACAATTTATTTTAAATACTAGATTGTAATGAAGTATTATTCAACTCCAAGTTAAGCATTAGCTCAAGCAGCTGGGACCTCAGTTATTCTCACTCTGTTTCTCTGACCCTCTTAATACACATCAATGGATTGGGTTACTCACCCTGAATGAATAGGGCTTGAAGAAAGCGCCACATTGTCCAAATTTTCAGTGCCCCAGCTTAAGCGATACGAATTCCTTTCAGCTTCCTTGGCCAGAGTTGATACCTGAGCATGTGATAGAACTTTTATTTAATTTGTATTTCTATATTTAAAAGCAATGAGCCAAACACACCATAAGTAAGAGTTATTTTTGTATAGCAGGGCTGAAAATGATTAACACTTTAAAAAAGGCAACAACAAAAATGAGCAATAATGACATCAAAGTACTACAAGCACCTTATTGTAACATCTTGTGCTTTTTCAAAGCAACCACAAATGTTACTAGCCCCAGTGAACAGGAATACTGGGAGCGACCAGATTGACCCCTCTTTAAATGACTTGATTGTCTCTTCAAAAATCTTCTCTCTGAATAGTGGACTAGATCCTCAGCTGGTGTAAATCAGCAAAGCTCCTTTGATTTCATTTACACCAATTGAACATTTGACCCCATGCCTATTAACATTGCTCAAAAATCAGATACAATGGAAAGCGCTATAAAGACATGTCCTGTAAATGCATTTACACATTTCTGGTTAATACAGAATATACTTTAGTATTCTACAATAAGCTTGTTCATTTAATAGCAGTTTGAAATTAGACAGGTTTATGGTACAATTAATACTACAGCACACATTACATCATACAGTTAACAGAATGCATACAGGGATTCTTTTTCATATTTCCAAAATTGAATATTTAAAATAAATGCATATTGTGCAATTGATCAGTGAGATAAAGAGAAAGGTCTTACCTGGTGGCTGGGGATTATGACAGTATCATCGATCATGGCACTGTCCCTCAGGTAGGAGGCATGGCTCAACGTGTGGGACCTGTCTGAACTGAAGGACCGCAGGCTGGTAGGTTGGCAGGATGCCATGGCAATATATCAGCAGTAGAGAAGGTATTGTGAAAATGGGATGATGGACCAAGCGGAAGAGTGAAAAAAGCGTGCTGTTAGCAAATATAATGCAACTTCCAGGGGGAGTATAAAATAGAGTCTTGTGGATCTCTGACTGAGCGCTGAACCAGTCTTTTGACTGATTCCTCTCATTTAATTCAAAGGAGAACCCAAGAGATTAAACTAGATCACAATCTATTTTATTTTCTAGCCACCAATGCTTTAAATTAGCTATGTGGCTTAATTGCTTCCCTTATACTAAAAAGGAACTCCTGCTGAGGATCTTTGAAGAAGTTCTCTCTCCTGCTCCATAATACAAGTGAACTGTCTAGGAAAAAAAAGATGCAAATATCTGACGAGAAGCTGAAATGAGTCCCTCTGAAGTTTCATTCTGATCGATTCTCTCTGACTCAAATGATAAATGAGTAAGGTTCGTTTTTGTCCCCTGGAAGGTACACAGCAAGGTGAACTGTGGCCAGCCACATGCTTCCTGTGTAAAACAAAGTGCCTCCTGCATGCCTTCAGCATCTCTAAAACAGCAATCCAAAACGTGAGCACAGGTTCCTTTGTACGTACACACAGCACGACAGGACACGGGTTGCTGTAGCAATGAGAGATGCAAGGCAGTAATAAGCTGCTTCCAAGCACCCAGCTCAGAACTTAACTGCAATAGCTGCTAGCTCAAAGCAAAATCCAAAAAAGCAAAACAAAACAAAGATACCCTCGCACACAAAGACATATCAAGCTAATATGGGGTTTCTGCCACACAGTAGTATTACTTTTGCCCTTTAAATATTAAAAACAACAGTATATACAGGATTTTTTTTGTGTGTGTGTGAAAAATCAACAGCTCAGACCCCTTCAGATTTTACAAGTATCACTTTATATTCATGTAGGTGTACTCCTTGTTACTATTCTATGTAGCTGAGGACACATTACATGTAAGTTTAGGAACTAGCTATGTTCTCATGGATTGCACTTGCGTGGGTACTGTCCATGATAATGTAGAAACATTAGAACACTGGAACTGCTGAACTGGATCAGACCAGTGGGCCACTTAGCCCAATAAACTTTCTGACAATGGCTAGTACCAGATGCTTCAGAGGAAGATGGAAGAAACCCCATAATGGACAGTTTTGAAATAACATGCCCATATGGGAAGCTTTCTTCTACTCCTGGTTGGTTAGTGGTTAATTTACATCTCTCTCTCTTAATCAGAGCTTTACTCTAATTAACTGTGAATGTCCTCATTCTCCACGTACCATAAGAATTCAATATATTTGTAGGTTTAACATGGGATAATTTATTTTCAAGTATCATTTTAAATATTAAGTGTACATTATATACATTAGATTGAAGTAAGTACTATTAAATGTAAACCTACTGGAAGTCAGACAAAAATATTGCAGCAACAGATCCTGTTCAATGACAGTGTATATAATTACATTCATCCAATAGGTTCTTGCAGTATCTGTATTTTACAAATAAACGGCATGGCGTATTTACATTAGAGATACATACAATTAAAAGAGCTACCAATGCCCTTCCATTGCATGCCTGCCATATTAAATGGATTGTATAAAATTGATCATAACAAAGATGATGAAAATATTACATGAATATCAGTCTTGGAAAACTGCCATGAAAACTAGTGCAGAATACCTTCTCACCCACTCTGACCAGGATAACGATGGTTAAAAAACTAATGAGATTTCACTTGCACGTCATCAAATATTACTCACCCTGATGAGTGGGCAAACAGAATTGAGCAAGGATGATATATGACATTTTGTGGGTATTATACATTCCCTGGATGAAATTCTGACTCCACTGAAGGCAGTGGCAATGGCAAAACACCCATTGACTTCAATGGGGCTAGGATTTCACCTCATGAATTTTAGTCCATGTCTACCTTGTTTTAAATAAAATGTATTGTATGAAGCCTTGGTTGTAGGTCATTTTGAATACACGTACATTACTTTGGTAGATATTTTGTAGTGCAACACCTTGTTTTCCATAATAACATTACTTCAGTAAATTGTCATTCTTATATCAGAAATTAAACATCAGTAGCAGACCCCATTTTTTACCACTATCCTTTACTTGCTTTAATGCTTGAAACATTCACAGCTGATTTACAGTGCCATGCAATGCTTGCAAGGGGTTTGCCATCCAAATCATAGGTCCTGCTGTTCAGCTAACGTAAGGTTTCACCAGACCACTACTGAATGAAAAGAAACATCTACTAGGTTCTACTGCTGGTCTCTAAGGGTATGTCTACACTGCAGCTTGGATCTAGCCTCCCAGCCTGGGTAGATCGACTTCCACTAATGGGGCTCGAAGTAGCATACTAAAAATAACAGCTTAGACATTGCCGCTCAGCTGGCAGCTTAAGCTCTCAAGCCCTGCCGACCCGAGTCTGAGCTTCGGTGACTAGCCCGAGTCTCCACTGGAGCCGCAATGTCCACGCTGTTATTTTTAGAGCATTTGCCCAAGGCCCACTAGCATGAGTCTGTCTACCTGTGTTGGGAGGCTCCTAGCTGTAGCGTAGACATCCTGCAGCGATTTGGTCCTCATTCTCCTATGGTTAGGAGACATTACTATTACAACCACCACAATTTGCCCACAACATGCCCAGTGAATGGTACATGTTCATAAATACAGGCCCAGTACATTGAAGGTATGGACATTACCAAGAGACGTGATAGTTACACAAATGTGACTGAGGTCTGTGATGAATTAAAAGTGTAACATTTCCATTAAAATTTTGTTTAAGACAAATACTGAGATGGCATTGCTCACCTTCTATGGATTATATCAGTTGCATACATAAGGAACAACCTGATTGCTAAAGCATCTGGTGCTGAGGTACACTAAGTGGTGTAAACCTAGAAGCAAGGGTGCTTATGGCAACCAGGACCTCACTATTAACGGGAAGCGGTGTTTTGAACAGAGCTGATTAAGAGACACGTACACTAATTATTATTTTTGGTAGGCTTTTAGAATATTGTCACATAAAGTTACACTACATAAGAGGCAAGATGCTCTAGGAAATCTACTAAAACAGACTCTCTGTATGGGGTGGTTCAGATAATATTGCCAAATTCACCACTGCAGGATGCACTGGATCACTGGGACTCCATTCACCCTGTTAGTGACCAATTGAGAGGATAAATGTAGGATTTACCACGGGTGACACCTGGTGTGGGAAATACAAAATGTTTTCTGTTGCCTGAGCACTCTGTGAAAATTACTTGAGCCCCCTGCAACTTTATATAAACCTGTCTTGGAAACATTCCCTAATAGGGCCCCACTTATGGATAGAAAATCTTTCCCATCTGACATGGCAGATACGTTTGAGTTAAGTTGAGGAGTGGAGGTCATACACTGAATCACAAACCTGAGCCTTTCCTGAACCTAGGTTAGCTGACAGATCATTATATGATACTATATACCAGGTCATCTCTCTTGTCTGAGAATATAACTAACTCCAATAGCAATGCCATTCATTTGGCCCTGTGAAAACAACAACTCCAGTACATAAGTCTCCTAGATCCATCAGCAGGCCTGCAAAATGGATGAATAGTGATTGGTGTTGCACGAGTGTACTGGGGACAACATTGTTTACATGCTGTGTAATACCTACCTGGGCATAGTGCTAATGAAAGCATATTAAAAAGAATGATGGGGAGAGAGAAATAATAAACAGGGAATACGGTTACAAAAGAAAAATTTAAGCTTTATAAATATAATTTTAAATGCATAATAATACATGAAAATGGGCCGCTTACATGATTTGCTGTGCTGCATTTGTTACAGCAGAAAAAATGAAATCTCTATTGCATTGCATTGTCTCTGATTCAGGTACTGCAGCAAAGCAACTTTATTTAGGCAGTTTTGGTGGTAATTCCCATGAATATGACTCTACTGTATTAGTGAAAGAGCAGCGGAAAGATGGACCTGGGAAAATGCACATTTTTGTTTGATTCTTCTTCCTGGATGTCCTTTTGCTGCATTTCAGTTTAAACAGATCCGCTACAGGACAGCGAAATCATTTTCATATTGCAAACTGTGGACCAGATTTTTGTCTCAAATATGCTAGTGTAAATCCCCTGAAATCTATGCATGTACTCAAGATTTACACTGACATAAATGAGAACTGAATCTAGCCCAGCATTAATCTATGTGAGCCTTCTTATACAACTCATTGACAATCAAAAAGAAAAAAAATCAGTATCATCACCAACAGCAGATTATTGTTAATGCTTTTTGATTTTTTTTAACCACTGTGTTGTAGGATTCATTGGATTTACTGGAGCAGCAAAGGCTCCAAGTTTGGAAGGCCTAAATGCTTAGGGGTTTAGATATCTTATGATACAATCTGAGTAATTTTCTGGCTTCTTTTGTTCCAAGAGTGATCCTAAGACCATTGAAGTCAACTGAAACAACTCTACTGATTTCACTGGGCTTTGGAGCAGATCCTATTTGGTGCTGGAATAACATACTACATTGGACACTGGCCTGGGTTGCAATTTGTGTGGCCAAAATCTTGACACAAACATTATTTAAGGAAATACCACCTCTGAATGCACTAGATCTGGAAATGACATGAGCAATTTATACTAGACATGCGTCTGACGCAGTGGGTAGTCACCCACGAAAGCATATGCTCCATACATCTGTTAGTCTTAAAGGTGCCACATAGGGTGACCAGATGTCCCGATTTTATAGTCCCGATATTTGGGGCTTTGTCTTATATAGGCGCCTATTACTTCCCCACCCCTGTCCCGATTTTTCACACTTGCTGTGTGGTCACCCTAGTGCCACAGGACTCTCTGTTGCTTTTTACAGATCCAGACTAACACGGCTACCCCTCTGATACTAGACACTGTAATTTTCAAACCTGAATGCCTAATCTTGGACACCCATTTCCCTCTTTGGGCACTTAACTCTGAATTAGAAATGTGGATGTCTGTCTGTCAGTTTGGGGCCTGATTATGCATTTATGCTCACTAGTTAAATACCAAAGTTTGAAAACCGTACCCTGTATTGTAATGTAGATTACACTGACTTGGTGTAAATTACAATAAACCTTTTTGAAGTGTAAAGGGCTATTACTCTTTTTGATTTTGGTTTTACAATATAATGGTACACTTCCCTAAGCACTAGCACACCCTAGCTACAACACCCATCTGTGCAAGATAGCCCCAGTGAGGGTTCTCCTTCTGTGCTGTGGTTGGTAACACATGCTAGAAAGGAGCATCCTACTGAAGCACTAAAATATCTCAGCCAACCATCCCCTGATTCTGAGCCATCTGCTCTGTGCCAGCTGGAGGTTAGGATAACTAAGGCCTTGGCTACACTGGCGCTGTACAGCGCTGCAACTTGCTGCGCTCAGGGGTGTGAAAATGCCCCCCCCCGAGAGCAGCGAGTGCAGCGCTGTAAAGCGCCAGTGTAATCAGTGCCTGCAGCGCTGCACGCTCGCTCGCAGCGCTGCAAGCTATTCCCCTCGGAGAGGTGGAGTACTTGCAGCGCTGCGAGAGAGCTCTCGCAGCGCTGGCGGCGCGACTACACTCGCGCTTCACAGCGCTGCCGCGGCAGCGCTGTGAATTCTCAAGTGTAGCCAAGGCCTAAGTGACCCTACCACATAGCCAATATCACTCCTCCTTCGTGTGGCTACAACAAGGAAGGACGGTACATTGCTCTTATTCTCAAACCATGCCCTTGGTTAACGCCCTACCATGAATCATGGACAGACTTTTCCTTAAGCCCTTTGGGATGTTAGGACCATGTACAGTATTAGTGTACAAGAGAATTAGATCACCTTCAGTTGTAAACTCTTTTTTCCCCAGTACCAAATGTATTTGGTTCCTGATAGTTTTCTTCCCATGACTTTCTTTTGACTACACCTTTCTTCTAAGAAGTGACAATAATTATCGAAATGAGAAGGAATAGGCATATCACATAGCTACTTTGAATTAAAGACATTGAGAAGGTCTGTGCAGAGAGCTTAACTATTCAACAAAATTATGCTCTAACTCATCATACAAACATATAATTTTCAGGTAAAATACCTGTCAGATCGGCCTCCCTCCAAGCTGTACCTCAGATAGTTCATACCATCTAGAAACTGGCTGCTGGGCAAAGAGTCATCACCTAGTTCTTTCAAGTCCTCTGGCCTGAGGTATTCTCCCCCATCTCCAGTCATTGTGTCATCACCTTGAAACAAAACACAAACACAATCCACAAAGATCAGTAAACTCACAAGTCCCACATTATTTACAGATTGGGGTAGCACGTCAGCGGGATGGCACAAATAACTGGAAGGTAATTCCCACACACACAGCACTGCAAATTACGAGCAATTAATATACACTGACAAAACTGGCACATCAAGCAGGATAAACCAAATCAAAATCAAGGTGAGTAAGCAATCGGTTTTTGTCCTCCATCTTTTGCCATTGCACAGATTTTTTGAAGGACTAATTTCTGTATCATTCTGTAGATTATCTTTTAGTTTGGTTCCTGTAACGCTGGTGCCAGCCAGCTACCAAGGTGGTAGGTGTCAGCTAAAAACCTGACAAACTCACAGCTGGAAGCCAGGCCAATTCACTTGTGTATTGGTATAGATCAAAGTGGTTGTTAAATAGATTCCAATGTGTTTGGTGTTTAAACTTCATGAAAACTAATGGGATGTTGCATGCATAGTTATCACTTATCTGAATACTGTTAGAATGTAGTAGCACACATTGACATTGTATATACCCTATATCTAAGTGACTCACCAAACACAAAGAAGCCATGTAAAGCAAATGAAGGACAGTAACAGGAAGGTGCTAATTATTGTGCTTTGCAAAGCAAATGGCCATTGTGTATCATGATCAGAGATCAAAGACCCTAAATGCATTCCCTTCTCTCCATCATCAAAGAAAGAGCACACTTGGTTAGAACTGTCAACTTGTTTTTCTATGAGAAGAAAGTATGGACACAGGAAAAAATTATTCATCTCTGAACTGTTTGGATTCTAGCAGGGCAGAATAGCTGAATGAGAAGACAGATATCCCAGAATCCATCTGTATAGCCCTAATAGACTTTTGGGAAACTAGGAGACTACTACATCTCTGAGACCTTTTGAAATTATAGACCAGTGGTGCTCAAAATTTTGCACCCTCCCTTACCGGTAATGGAATCTGTTCATGACCTTCCCCCGCCCCCCATTACGGAACAGCCAAGGCTTCCTCAGCAGCGGAGCTTGGGCTGAAGGCAGAGCTGGGGGTGGAACTGGGGATGGGGGAGGAGCTGGGACTAGAGGCAGAGCTGGTCAGGGGGTGGAGAGGAAATGAGGGCAGAGCTGGGCTGGGGGCGGAGTGGAGCAACAGCTGGGGTCAGAGCTGGGCTGGGGAGGAAGAGGGAGGGAGGAGCTGGATCTGGAGTCGGAACAGGACTGGGGAATGACCAGGGTTGGGGGGAGGAGTGAGGCTAGGGGCATAGCTGATCTGGGGGCAGAGCAGGGCTGGAAGCGTGGTGCTCCCTTCCGCCGCCCCTGCCCCCATAGGGGCTGGCCCTGGCCCTGTTGTGTGCTCCCCTGAACATTCCTCTGTGCCCCTTGGGGGGGTGCCCCACAGTTTGGGGACTACTGTTATAGACTATGACTCACCTGTACATATATTTTTACCTGCTTTAACCTCTCAATAACTCTCATTGCTTTTTCTTATCTAACATTTGGTTAGTTTACGATAGAACGGGTTACCAGCATCGTCTTTGGAGTGAGGTCTAGGATGCAAATCTACCTGGGTGAGTGACTGGTCTCTTGGGACTGGGTAAAACCAGAATATTTTGTGATTTTTGGTGTAAGTGACCATTTATTGCATAGTCCAGCTTCCCTGAGTGGCCAGATAGACTGGTGCGTTTAAGGAGACTGTCTGTGACTCCATTATAAGACTACTGTAGTATTCTGGGAGTTCACATTGGTTACTGGTTTGGTGAAATCTAATTATAGAACATATCACCAGTGTGGGTTGTTGGCCCTGCTTCTGACAGTCTGCCCTGAAATAGGCACTCAGGGTCGTGAGCCACTCCAGACAGTGTGACAGTTCCTTTATCCACAGCTACATTAGATGCTTGGACTGACAGTGGATGCTGAGACAATTTCTCTTTTGATTGCAAACTGTTGGTTTAAACTCAGAAAGGTACATTTTTTGTCCCTGTGCCTGACAGGTGCAAGTCAGTCCTTATTTGAATTCTCAGACATTCAAACTGCACTCCAAAGGACATTGTGTCACTCCTGACAACAAACATCCGCGCATGGTCACCCGTAAGATTGTAATTTTTAAAACACAGTAACTGATACTCAGAAGCTCCATGCCCATTTGCCATAAACTGGAAATACAATCACACAGATGGCGGAAAAATGAACCAGCATAAACAAGAAAATAATTCACCAAAGGTGAAATCAAAACCTAAATTAGCCCCCATTATCACAAATATCGGCCATTACCATGCCCATTTCTCTCCCGAAGGCTGGGTAAACAGGTGGACCTTACAACATGTTATGAAGGTGAATAAATTTGTGCTTTTGGGACCAAATGAGGTGGGGAAAGTAGGGTCCCTCACACCGAATGCATGAATGAAGTAATAACTTGTTTTTCTCAGGAGAATCATCATCATTGAACTTACATCTCTACATGACACGTGGAAGTTTCCCCCCATTTCTTTATAAATTTCCAGTGTGAACCATCTCCATATTGGAGAGAATGGTTTCTGCTAGCCTCAGTGAAGATACTCATTTAACCTGATGTCTTTCCATCCTCTTTCCCAACTCCTTAGTGTGGTATTCCATAACTACAGTGTGTCCCTGTATGTTAAATGCAGGCCACAGAAATCCACCATGTGGCCCTCACCAGTAATTCCAGTCCACAAATCGCAGAAGTTTCCAAGTTTTCTCATTTCAGAGCTGCACCGGCATCAAATGAAGCGGATGGCAACTCTGATGCCGAGATAGGACCTGCAAAAATTATCAGTCCTAGCTGTGATGTTCCACCTTGATTTGCTAAGCTCGAGAAGCAACACTGCAGAATTCCAGAGACTACAACTTTATATCAAAGGAGACCGCACTCTTACGTGTGCTGTATTCTGCACATTTTCTTTGAGCTCTAGTGAAGTTGACACGGGGCCTTCGTTTGGATGCCTCTATGATATGCAGTCCAAATATGCAAATCTGATTAGTTTAACAAAGGCAAACAAGAGAGGAAAATATAATGACAACGTATTATTGTTAACATCTATACTCGGGATAATGTGTCATCTTTTCTGCTCAATTTAACTAGGACAGCAGGCTAAATGAATACTGTATAATCACAAATACAGAAATGCTGGTATTTGTTTTCATAAAGAGCTTAACATTTGATTTCAGTTGAACTTTTCTAGCTTGGTCAAGCATTATTTCCAGCTGTTAAATAAAAACATCTGAAAATTTGACATCCAAAAACAAATAAAATCAACTTTTTTAATAATCTGTCTATCTCTATCTAATCTATATACATACCTAAATCTTTAAAGGGTAACTACAAAGCCTTTTAAAACTCCATCTGTAATACTGAAAGAAAATGAGACTGGGCATTGTTTCACAGAAAACAAGAGAATGCATTTAATTGTTGCATATTTCCTGTCTTTTGTCAAACAATGTTTCCTGAGAATGTGACAATATAAACCACAGGACTTATTCAAACCTTGGAAGATATCAAAGGAAAGCTGTTTAAAAGGAATTTCAAATGATTTTTCAAATAAAATAAAAACTTACAATCATGCCAAGCATTCCATCCATAATGGAAAAAAAGGCAAAACCTTACCAGCTTTCATCCCACTAGCATCCCTTCCAAAAAATGACCCATTCAAATTTTGGTGTCTGAGCTGCAACTGCCAATAGTGGTACCAATTAGTACTAATTGTTTAGGGTGATGTGGACATCTGTACACTGTGAACTGTAATGAGACCATTAATACATTTCACAATGACAATGAACAGTCATAACACTGCTGACTTAGCCTATCCTTGAAGCAGTGACCCTGAAGGGAAAGGCACCATTACCGATGCCTTGAGTCGTCCCATCTCTTTTATCACAACACTGAGGACATGTCTACTCTGTTCCACTGTTCCAACAGCCAGACTATGGGGGTGTGAATAGCAATAGGAACCAAAGTTCTGCGCTGTAATTCCTCTGTGTGGATGCTGTGGGCATGAAAAAAAAGGTTCCTAATTCGCATTAAAGTAGTCCTTTACAAACAGGACTACATTAATGCAAAGTAGGAGCCTTTTTGTTTATGCCCGCAGCACCATACGGGGGAGCTACTGCACAGCATTTTAGTGCGTATTGCTATTCACACACCCCACAGTCTAGCTGTTGGAACTGTGGGACAGTGTAGACATGCCCTTAATAGCAAGGGAAGAATACTGTGGCCTAGAGGATAAGCAAATACAAATTATTTAATTTATCAAATCTAACTACAGTCTATATATTAACTTAAAGCAACTTCTCATACAGTTGAGGTTACCAGAATGTGTTAATTAATTGCAGGAGGATTACAGGCATGCAGAGAGAGTTGCTTAATTGTATGTAATAAACAGACATTCCGTCTTACACGTGAGTATTATTAATATATATAGCAACACCCCTGGGCCACAATCAGGACTGGTGTCTCATTGTGATACACAAAAACATACAAAAAGACAGACTCAGGAGAGCTTGATGTTCAGGTGACTATGAGTGCATTTACACAGAAAAATCACCTCAGATGGTAGTTTTGTAGCCATACAAAAACTGCTCTCTTTTATCATGTTAGAAATAATGAATCTGACGTACCAGTGTTTTCTATTAAGTTGTGTCATCATGTTACCTGTCAAATTAACTACATTTAATTTACACTATTTAATAAGCAAATCATGATGCACAGACCAGTTGACACTGGTGCTTCATGATCTGTGCCGGCTGCCTAGTAACTTGTAGGAGGAGTTCAATGGGTTAGCTTTCACAGCTAAAGCCCTAAATTGTGGCCCTGATTACTTGAGAGATTCTCTCTCTGCACATGAGATCAATACTGTTACAATCAGCAGATGCACTTATTCATGACTAATCCAGTAAGACCCTCATTCTGACTGAGGCCTCTGAACACAATTTAATTACAAATTAATAAAATAATACATAATTATAATAATACTAGCAG